TCTCAATCAGCTCACTTTTTTTCCCTTTTTGCGGAAGCCTATGACATTTTAGCCACCTTTTCAATTGTTCACAATTATGAGCTTCAACTGAATCATAAATAAGTGAAGCACCATCGATGGTTTTTTCCAATAATTTATTTCTTTGTGGAGATAATAGTCCTTGTCCAGCGATTGTTGATTAAAACAGTACGAATTTTTTGAATTACCGCCGTTTCAACATGGCGGCTACGCTTGCGCTCATCTGATGATGAAAAGGCCTATTTAAAAATGCGTTTTACAGTAGTAACTGCTTCTGCCACAAGGAGAAGCCACGCCCCCGGCTGATTTCCCAATATCATCACTTTAAAATAATGATTTTTTTAATGAGTTGATTTACATAGAATGGGATAAGTGATTATTTTAGTCGATAGTAGAATCTAAGTTTAAAATTTTAATATTTTTACTCTCAAACATTGATCATTACATCGATTTCTTTCAGGGTTATTTAGATCAGCGATTGCTATGAGTGGATCTCCGTTGAATGCCTGGGGTTTTCTCGATATGTCTGAAGCAGTTTCTCGCAGTTTTTCTATTGGCAATGTAATGGGCATTGAAACAACTAATGCATCACTTCTTTTAGAGAAATTATATAATGCTTCTGCTGACCATATCACCTTAGCTGCTACTTTTCTATCAACTGTATGTATTTGTAAAAGTTGTAATCTATCGTTTCTTCTCATCATTCAAAGTATTTTAATAATAACTTACTTTTCATTTCAAGCCTTACGTACCCTTCCTGACTCCAACAATTGAAAATTCTGAAATCGCTGCAACTCCGATAATAACCGAGTGTACAGTTAAAAAACTCACAACAGGGCATTTTAATCATGTTCCTGTAATAATTGGATTTGTTAACGTCGAAACCTTATCGTTTGTTGGTCTTGGTAAGTATACAAAAATGTAAACCGTGGTCGTACCTCTAGATGTTTATAATACATTGTTACTTAAGTTCAGGAGCTTTAAAAATTTCTAGTCAAAATTATCCATCTTTTTTTCTAAAATTGAAGATATTTTTATTCGAAAAATAATCAAAAACAAATCATTGTGGAGTAATTCTAATAAGTATCCATTTTCTTCAACAGATACACTGTCACGAATAGGATTAATTGATGGTACTCTAGCAGTTGTACAAAATTTTTCAGAGCTGTTAGAAACACAAGAAATACAATACTTGCAGAAAATACGAAACAAAACGGAAGGTATCACAAATCTTCCCAATGGTGATCTGTACCTAATATCGAATATTTCATCTGATTTACTTTTCAACTATGGAATCGACAGAACCGAACGATTCCTAGCTGCTGGTAATACTGCGCCAGTTTATTATTATCGAAACTCATTTGATTATAGTCAATCACTACATAAATTATGGGGTATAAATTTGAATGGAACTTCCCATGCTGATGACATCGCTCATATATTTTGGTTGCCAAATAAAAATCAGTCACTT